CATATTTCTTTTGACAATAACTTTTCCCGAACAAAATGACAATCAATTTCTATATGTTTAGTTCTCTCGTGAAACACTGGATTTGATGCAATGTGAAGAGCAGCTTGGTTATCACAATACATCTTCATACTCTGGATGTCACAGAAGCTAAGCTCTTGAAGGAACTGCTTCACCCATATAAGTTCACATGTTAGTGACGCCATTGCCCTATATTCAGCTTCAGCTGTTGATCGAGCCACTACATTTTGTTTCTTACTTTTCCATGAGATAATGTTTCCTCCAAGGAAAACACAATATCCAGTAGTAGATCGTATATCAATAGGAGAACATGCCCAATCGGCATCACAATATCCTGCCCAATCGCACAAGCGGAGAGCTTGTCTAGCCCCGGAGGCATGTCGTGAACAAAACATACATAACCAAAAACTCGAGGAGGGGTGTGAAAGAGAGGATCATTAGGAAAGAGAATGGAGAAAGAGACTTTATTATTGAGAGAGGAGGACGGCATCCTATTAATAAGAAAACATACAATTAAGATGGCATCCCCCAGTGATGAACAGGAATATGGACACCAAGCAAAAGGGTACGAGCAGTTTCAACCAAGTGTCTATTTTTTCTTTCGACTATACCATTTTGCTGGGGTGTATGAGGACAAGTGGACTGATGCAAAATACCATGGGAGCTAAGGATTGCAGAAAAAGTGGATGAGAAATACTCTTTAGCATTATCACTTCTTAAGATTTTAATTACTTGACCAAATTGGTTCTTGATTTCATTCAAAAAGGATGTGAAGATGGATAACAATTCAGAGCGATCTTTCATTAGATAAACCCAAGTACATCTAGAATACTCATCAATAAATGTAACAAAATACCTAAAACCAAAAGAAGAGACGCGACTAGATCCCCAGACATCAGAATGAATAATAGAAAAACTAGAATTACACATTGATTGAGACCTTTTAGGAAAGACAGATCTAATATGTTTTCCTAGTTGACAAGACTCACATTCTAAACTCTGGAGACCACTAAGTTCAGGACACATCTTTTTTAACTTTGACAGGTGAGGATGGCCAAATCGGTCATGTAACACTTTAGGAGGAAGAGCTGCAACACAGGATACCCGTGGACGAGATCCAAAATGGTATAAACCTCCAGCTTCATATCCTTCTCCAATCTGTCTCCCCGAGCCACGCTCCTGTATAACAAAAGATTTTGAATCAAAAGTTATTGAACAATGTAACATTTTGGTTAACTAGCTTAAGGAAATTAAATTGAATGGACAGTTAGGGACAAAAAGAACAGATTTCAGAGTTAGACAGGGAGACAGGGAGACTTGACCGACTCCCTTTGAACAAGTTTTAGAACCATTTGCAAGGGTAATGAAATGGGGTTTTTCTTGGAGGGAAAGGGTTAAGAACAATGAGCTATCACCAGAGATGTGATCAGAAGCACCCGAGTCAATTACCCATGAATTTTGACCTTCCATGGATTGAGAAATGCAAGCTGTGGATGTACTTGGGGATTGAGATGATTGTGCCAAGCTGTTAGACTTTAATCGCAGATACTCTTGATACTCTTCCTCAGTGAACTTGGAGTTGGAAGTGGGAGTTTCAGCCTTAGAGATATTGGCTGTTTTTGAAGGAAAACCATGCAAGGAGTAGCAGTTTTCTTGGGTGTGACCCACCCTCTTACAGTAAGTGCACTGTGGACGTCCCCGACCTCTACGTCCTCCTCCTCTAGTGCCATGTCCTCCTCTTCCTCGCGTGGCAACCATGACAGATGGTTCCATTGTTTCATGAGCTTCCTGAGATTGAGGCACTGGAACATAAAGAAGACGTGTGGTCAAGGCTTCCAAGGAAGGGACCTCATGAATTGTTCAGAAGTTGATCTCTGATATGATTCAAATTTGGATGTAAAGCACGGAGGATCCTCACCATATAATACTTGTCAAGCTTCTTCTTGATGTCTTCCGAAGATTCCACTTCCAAGAACATTCTCAACTCTTCCACAGCTGCTTGGGCTTCAGTCATGAAGGAGACCATATCATGGTTTGTCATTTTGAGACATGCAAGCTTGTTTGTTGTATCATAGAGACGTTGCATATCATTAGCATAAATGCTTTGAGCTTTCTTCCAAAAAGAGTGACACATTTTGAAGGCTCTAAGAGATATCAAAAGTCGGAGTTCCACAGATTGCCACAATAGGTCACACAATTGGAAATCTGCTTGTTTCCATTGTTCAGCTTTTTTAGAAGGTACTTGGCTTCCATCCTGCTCAAGGTGGTCATAATGTCCTTGACCGAGTAACCACATTTCCACGGCAGCATACCAAGATAGTTAATTCTTTTCGTTTAGCTTTTCGTATGTAATTGAGGGACTTCCAGAGAAAGAAAGAACACTTCCAGACGCCATTCTTGATAAAAATAGGAGAAGGAAAAGCACGATAGTGAGGAACCAGAAAACCCTAGAGGGTTTCTTAGGGTTTTCTTCAAGGGGAGCTTCTGGACTTCAATGAAGTAAGGTTTTGAGGGTCAGAACAGAGAAAGGAGGCTCAGGTGACAGCTATGGAGGTGTCACGGTGACTTTCCGACGAGCAGAGCGTGGAGGAGAATCAGACTCTGGCACCGGTGGGGGTGGTCGTCGCATGAAGAGACGAACCAGATCCAGTGGTCGCGGGACAGAACAGTGACGGCAGATGGCGGCAGACGGCGGCGGACGGCGGACAGATGTGAGATGGCAGAGAACCAAGTTGAAGAGCCTCAAACTGCAGTTGACAGCTGCAGATAGTGACAAGACAACCGCGGACAACGGCAAAGGGTACTGGACAGATGCGAACAGAAATGACAATGCTGGTGGACAACCCAGGACAGAAACCAGAGCAGGATGAACCTGCTCTGATACCATATTAGAAGGTGAGTTTTTAAGCCTAACTCATCCCCACAAAACAGCTTGTAAGATGAGGTTTGCACCTCAATTATATATTAAAATTTGGCCTTATCTCTAGTAGATGTGGGACTTCCAACACACCCCCTTCACGCCGAGGTATAGACATCTCGTGCGGGATAGTAGAGATTGGATGGTCTGATAATGGCCCAATAGTGGGTGGAATAGAAATGCCCAAGAAACAAGAAATATCGCTAGGATAGGCTCTAACCATGGCTCTGATACCAACTTGAGATTAAAACTGAGAAAATATATTCTTGAGGGCTTAACAGATCCCTCTCATTATCTTCTATATATATTGAAAACACAAGAGTACGTGGAACATCAAGAGTCTACACTAGACCTCTAGGTACAGAACTAGGTACGACTCATTAATGGTCTAGCAGACAAGCCTTAACGATGATATATAACAGTAATTATTCTAACATTCATCAAACATTCTGATTTAGGGAGAGTAACAATACTAATGGTCTATGTGGATTATATAATTATTACTGGAAATGATAAAAAGGAACAACAAAGGTTGAGCCAATACCTTGCCAAGGAATTCGAAATCAAGACTTTAGGGAACCTAAAATATTTTTTGGGGATTGAAGTAGCCCATTCCAATAAAGGAATTTTCATATCCCAACAAAAATATATCATTGATTTGCTAAGGAAACAGGTAAAACAGCCTGCAAACCAGCAAGTACACCTATTGATCCAAATATAAAGTTCAGGAGTGTAGAGGAGGATGTTTTTGTGGATAAAGAAACGTACCGAAGACTTGTGAGAAGACTTATTTACCTATCTCACACTAGGCCAAATATTGCCTTTGTTGTGAGCTTAGTTAGCCAATTTATGCATCAACCAAAGGAAGCACATTTACAAGTTGCACTTAGAATTGTCCAGTATTTAAAAAGGGGACTTCAGGAAGAGGAATTTTGTTCAAAAGATATAAGAATGCTAGTCTTGAGATGCTGATTATGCAGGTTCAACTATGGATAGGAGGTCAACTACTGGATATTGTACCTTTCCTGGTGGAAACCTAGTAACTTGGAAGAGCAAAAAATAAAGTGTGGTAGCTAGATCTAGTGCTGAAGTAGAATGTCGAGCAATGGCCCAAGGAATATGTGAACTTTTATGGCTGAAGATTATATTGGAAGACTTAAGGATAAAGTGGGATGATCCTATAAGGCTATATTGTGATAATAAATCTGCAATTAGTATAGCCCACAACTCAGTACAGTATGATAGAACCAAACATATTGAGGTGGACAAACATTTTATCAAAGAAAAGCTTGATTTGCATCCCATATGTGTCCACTCAAGGTCAACTTGTAGACATACCCACCAAGGGACTGAGCAACAGTAATTTTAAAAGAATTATATCTAAACTAGGAATGAAAAACACTTATTCACCAGCTAGAGGGGCAATGTCAAAATATATTTTAGGAAATTTTAGATATTATTCCCATGTATTTAATTTGTTATATTCTGTGTATCTTGCTATTATTACTAGAATAACAATCCCACAATTTCAAGGATTTGTTCCGTAGAATACGTTGTTCATTCAATAAGTTCTTGTTTATATATCCAATGCATGTAAGGAGACAAATAATAAGAAATATATTCTCTCTCCTAAATTTAAGACTATGATATAGTACTTGTGAAATCAAAATTACTGTTTGCATTTACCAAAGAACATGAGTTACACTTATATGGACATACACAATTCCATAAGAAAAAACTAAAATTTTCTAGACCATTGGCAAATTAAACTTTGATTCCGCCATTTCTGCTTAAACATCCATTTTCAATTTTAGCTAAGTCAGATTAAGCTTTCCACCAATTCTTGTGATTTTTTCAAAATATAAATAAAAATTCAATTTCAGAATACCCAAGAAATCAGCACTGAATTATCGAACTACGAGAGAAATAAATAATCATGATTAGAGAACATTACTTGTTACAGGGATAAATTTCTGGCACGTCTTCACCACAAAGTTATCAGATAAGTCGGATTCATCTTCTTCACTGGAAAACAACTATTCATAAAACAATAACATGCTGTGATTAAAACCAGTGCATAGAATTGAAAATACCACAAGTATGAACCTCCTAATATATTATATTGTAAGAGATAAAAATACTCTAGTGATTCCGTCTAAAAGTTTAATATTTTAGATGATTTGTTTGTGATCCTCGTGATTCTCACTCCTTCATAATTAAACTGAATTTTAAAAGTAATTATAAAATGGAAATATTCTTTAATCGTTGTATAATATCAACATTCATATGCTTTTGTCTAATATCTTAAGCTATTAAGGATCATGTTTCCTTGACAAACATGAACATGGATAGTGTTATAAGGATCAATAGATGGAATCCAAATTTCAAATACTGTGAACATCACCTTAAATGATGAGTAGAGTAATATTGCGGCCAAGAGAAGGTTGACTGCTTCAAATCTCTAATGGCATGATAATGAACAAGATGATCAGCAACAATTATAAAAGTCACTGAAAATGGTTAAATATGGAAAATATATCCATCATGAAACACACCTGAAGGGTAGCTGTTCCAATAAGTATTAACGTCAGACGAAAGATAACTGCTCCAGCAATACCATAGGAGAGCACACGATTCTGTGAGTTCAATAAGTAAAGGGAAAATGACCAATTAACAGTTTTATTAATTTTTATAATAAAACTAAAAATTCATAATCTGAGAACCATTAGAACAAGAAGTTGAAATTGCTCATAGTTTACCCGCGACAAGTTCTATACATCACCTGATATGTAACCGGCACTTTGAAGTAATTGAATATCAGAACAAAGAGAAAGAGATTATCTACAGAAAGACTTTGCTCCAATATGTACCTAAGAAATACATAAAAGTCAAAGGCCACCATTCCAGTAAGTACATCACTCAAGAAAGTGAAAGCAAACCAGAGAGAGAAATGAAGTGGTGCCAGCAAGGTTCAAACCATAGACATAGAGTTCATAAAACCAAAATAAGCATCCAATATGCTATAACTTCAAAAATCGGTGTTTGATCAATCTCTAGGATATGTACTTAATCAGAGGGCATAAATATAGAGGAACAGGAGAAGCATATTGAAAAGAGAGAGGGAGAGAGAGATGAAGGCATCAGAAACACCCTATGATAAGTAATCTTCAAGAAACTTTGCATGATATCAAACTTTGACTCATCCAGAACCTTAATTACTCTAGCACTGTAAAATTGGACCAACTTTCTAGTTGATAACGAAATTAAATTATTCAGCGTACCCTGCAAAGAATTCCGATGCTTTGTCAAAACCTTCCTTAAAACCCAAACCAACACCAAATGCCACCGCAGCGCAGACCTACAAGAAATCTTACACAATTGATGTAATTCTAATTCTATACAACTAGAGAAATTGTAAAAGAAAGCAGTAAAGACATAGTAGATGTGTGCCCACCCATAAGGCTACATTTCTAATGGAGGAATTGTAATCTTCATTCGCTAGAGATTCCTGAGAAGGAGANTAACAATTCAGAGCGATCTTTCATTAGATAAACCCAAGTACATCTAGAATACTCATCAATAAATGTAACAAAATACCTAAAACCAAAAGAAGAGACGCGACTAGATCCCCAGACATCAGAATGAATAATAGAAAAACTAGAATTACACATTGATTGAGACCTTTTAGGAAAGACAGATCTAATATGTTTTCCTAGTTGACAAGACTCACATTCTAAACTCTGGAGACCACTAAGTTCAGGACACATCTTTTTTAACTTTGACAGGTGAGGATGGCCAAATCGGTCATGTAACACTTTAGGAGGAAGAGCTGCAACACAGGATACCCGTGGACGAGATCCAAAATGGTATAAACCTCCAGCTTCATATCCTTCTCCAATCTGTCTCCCCGAGCCACGCTCCTGTATAACAAAAGATTTTGAATCAAAAGTTATTGAACAATGTAACATTTTGGTTAACTAGCTTAAGGAAATTAAATTGAATGGACAGTTAGGGACAAAAAGAACAGATTTCAGAGTTAGACAGGGAGACAGGGAGACTTGACCGACTCCCTTTGAACAAGTTTTAGAACCATTTGCAAGGGTAATGAAATGGGGTTTTTCTTGGAGGGAAAGGGTTAAGAACAATGAGCTATCACCAGAGATGTGATCAGAAGCACCCGAGTCAATTACCCATGAATTTTGACCTTCCATGGATTGAGAAATGCAAGCTGTGGATGTACTTGGGGATTGAGATGATTGTGCCAAGCTGTTAGACTTTAATCGCAGATACTCTTGATACTCTTCCTCAGTGAACTTGGAGTTGGAAGTGGGAGTTTCAGCCTTAGAGATATTGGCTGTTTTTGAAGGAAAACCATGCAAGGAGTAGCAGTTTTCTTGGGTGTGACCCACCCTCTTACAGTAAGTGCACTGTGGACGTCCCCGACCTCTACGTCCTCCTCCTCTAGTGCCATGTCCTCCTCTTCCTCGCGTGGCAACCATGACAGATGGTTCCATTGTTTCATGAGCTTCCTGAGATTGAGGCACTGGAACATAAAGAAGACGTGTGGTCAAGGCTTCCAAGGAAGGGACCTCATGAATTGTTCAGAAGTTGATCTCTGATATGATTCAAATTTGGATGTAAAGCACGGAGGATCCTCACCATATAATACTTGTCAAGCTTCTTCTTGATGTCTTCCGAAGAGTCCACTTCCAAGAACATTCTCAACTCTTCCACAGCTGCTTGGGCTTCAGTCATGAAGGAGACCATATCATGGTTTGTCATTTTGAGACATGCAAGCTTGTTTGTTGTATCATAGAGACGTTGCATATCATTAGCATAAATGCTTTGAGCTTTCTTCCAAAAAGAGTGACACATTTTGAAGGCTCTAAGAGATATCAAAAGTCGGAGTTCCACAGATTGCCACAATAGGACACACAATTGGAAATCTGCTTGTTTCCATTGTTCAGCTTTTTCAGAAGGTACTTGGCTTCCATCCTGCTCAAGGTGGTCATAATGTCCTTGACCGAGGAACCACAATTCCACGGCAGCAGACCAAGACAGATAATTCTTTCCGTTTAGCTTTTCGAAAGTAATTGAGGGACTTCCAGAGAAAGAAAGAACACTTCCAGACGCCATTCTTGATAAAAATAGGAGAAGGAAAAGCACGATAGTGAGGAACCAGAAAACCCTAGAGGGTTTCTTAGGGTTTTCTTCAAGGGGAGCTTCTGGACTTCAATGAAGTAAGGTTTTGAGGGTCAGAACAGAGAAAGGAGGCTCAGGTGACAGCTATGGAGGTGTCACGGTGACTTTCCGACGAGCAGAGCGTGGAGGAGAATCAGACTCTGGCACCGGTGGGGGTGGTCGTCGCATGAAGAGACGAACCAGATCCAGTGGTCGCGGGACAGAACAGTGACGGCAGATGGCGGCAGACGGCGGCGGACGGCGGACAGATGTGAGATGGCAGAGAACCAAGTTGAAGAGCCTCAAACTGCAGTTGACAGCTGCAGATAGTGACAAGACAACCGCGGACAACGGCAAAGGGTACTGGACAGATGCGAACAGAAATGACAATGCTGGTGGACAACCCAGGACAGAAACCAGAGCAGGATGAACCTGCTCTGATACCATATTAGAAGGTGAGTTTTTAAGCCTAACTCATCCCCACAAAACAGCTTGTAAGATGAGGTTTGCACCTCAATTATATATTAAAATTTGGCCTTATCTCTAGTAGATGTGGGACTTCCAACACACCCCCTTCACGCCGAGGTATAGACATCTCGTGCGGGATAGTAGAGATTGGATGGTCTGATAATGGCCCAATAGTGGGTGGAATAGAAATGCCCAAGAAACAAGAAATATCGCTAGGATAGGCTCTAACCATGGCTCTGATACCAACTTGAGATTAAAACTGAGAAAATATATTCTTGAGGGCTTAACAGATCCCTCTCATTATCTTCTATATATATTGAAAACACAAGAGTACGTGGAACATCAAGAGTCTACACTAGACCTCTAGGTACAGAACTAGGTACGACTCATTAATGGTCTAGCAGACAAGCCTTAACGATGATATATAACAGTAATTATTCTAACATTCATCAAACATTCTGATTTAGGGAGAGTAACAATACTAATGGTCTATGTGGATTATATAATTATTACTGGAAATGATAAAAAGGAACAACAAAGGTTGAGCCAATACCTTGCCAAGGAATTCGAAATCAAGACTTTAGGGAACCTAAAATATTTTTTGGGGATTGAAGTAGCCCATTCCAATAAAGGAATTTTCATATCCCAACAAAAATATATCATTGATTTGCTAAGGAAACATGTAAAACAGCCTGCAAACCAGCAAGTACACCTATTGATCCAAATATAAAGTTCAGGAGTGTAGAGGAGGATGTTTTTGTGGATAAAGAAACGTACCGAAGACTTGTGAGAAGACTTATTTACCTATCTCACACTAGGCCAAATATTGCCTTTGTTGTGAGCTTAGTTAGCCAATTTATGCATCAACCAAAGGAAGCACATTTACAAGTTGCACTTAGAATTGTCCAGTATTTAAAAAGGGGACTTCAGGAAGAGGAATTTTGTTCAAAAGATATAAGAATGCTAGTCTTGAGATGCTGATTATGCAGGTTCAACTATGGATAGGAGGTCAACTACTGGATATTGTACCTTTCCTGGTGGAAACCTAGTAACTTGGAAGAGCAAAAAATAAAGTGTGGTAGCTAGATCTAGTGCTGAAGTAGAATGTCGAGCAATGGCCCAAGGAATATGTGAACTTTTATGGCTGAAGATTATATTGGAAGACTTAAGGATAAAGTGGGATGATCCTATAAGGCTATATTGTGATAATAAATCTGCAATTAGTATAGCCCACAACTCAGTACAGTATGATAGAACCAAACATATTGAGGTGGACAAACATTTTATCAAAGAAAAGCTTGATTTGCATCCCATATGTGTCCACTCAAGGTCAACTTGTAGACATACCCACCAAGGGACTGAGCAACAGTAATTTTAAAAGAATTATATCTAAACTAGGAATGAAAAACACTTATTCACCAGCTAGAGGGGCAATGTCAAAATATATTTTAGGAAATTTTAGATATTATTCCCATGTATTTAATTTGTTATATTCTGTGTATCTTGCTATTATTACTAGAATAACAATCCCACAATTTCAAGGATTTGTTCCGTAGAATACGTTGTTCATTCAATAAGTTCTTGTTTATATATCCAATGCATGTAAGGAGACAAATAATAAGAAATATATTCTCTCTCCTAAATTTAAGACTATGATATAGTACTTGTGAAATCAAAATTACTGTTTGCATTTACCAAAGAACATGAGTTACACTTATATGGACATACACAATTCCATAAGAAAAAACTAAAATTTTCTAGACCATTGGCAAATTAAACTTTGATTCCGCCATTTCTGCTTAAACATCCATTTTCAATTTTAGCTAAGTCAGATTAAGCTTTCCACCAATTCTTGTGATTTTTTCAAAATATAAATAAAAATTCAATTTCAGAATACCCAAGAAATCAGCACTGAATTATCGAACTACGAGAGAAATAAATAATCATGATTAGAGAACATTACTTGTTACAGGGATAAATTTCTGGCACGTCTTCACCACAAAGTTATCAGATAAGTCGGATTCATCTTCTTCACTGGAAAACAACTATTCATAAAACAATAACATGCTGTGATTAAAACCAGTGCATAGAATTGAAAATACCACAAGTATGAACCTCCTAATATATTATATTGTTAGAGATAAAAATACTCTAGTGATTCCGTCTAAAAGTTTAATATTTTAGATGATTTGTTTGTGATCCTCGTGATTCTCACTCCTTCATAATTAAACTGAATTTTAAAAGTAATTATAAAATGGAAATATTCTTTAATCGTTGTATAATATCAACATTCATATGCTTTTGTCTAATATCTTAAGCTATTAAGGATCATGTTTCCTTGACAAACATGAACATGGATAGTGTTATAAGGATCAATAGATGGAATCCAAATTTCAAATACTGTGAACATCACCTTAAATGATGAGTAGAGTAATATTGCGGCCAAGAGAAGGTTGACTGCTTCAAATCTCTAATGGCATGATAATGAACAAGATGATCAGCAACAATTATAAAAGTCACTGAAAATGGTTAAATATGGAAAATATATCCATCATGAAACACACCTGAAGGGTAGCTGTTCCAATAAGTATTAACGTCAGACGAAAGATAACTGCTCCAGCAATACCATAGGAGAGCACACGATTCTGTGAGTTCAATAAGTAAAGGGAAAATGACCAATTAACAGTTTTATTAATTTTTATAATAAAACTAAAAATTCATAATCTGAGAACCATTAGAACAAGAAGTTGAAATTGCTCATAGTTTACCCGCGACAAGTTCTATACATCACCTGATATGTAACCGGCACTTTGAAGTAATTGAATATCAGAACAAAGAGAAAGAGATTATCTACAGAAAGACTTTGCTCCAATATGTACCTAAGAAATACATAAAAGTCAAAGGCCACCATTCCAGTAAGTACATCACTCAAGAAAGTGAAAGCAAACCAGAGAGAGAAATGAAGTGGTGCCAGCAAGGTTCAAACCATAGACATAGAGTTCATAAAACCAAAATAAGCATCCAATATGCTATAACTTCAAAAATCGGTGTTTGATCAATCTCTAGGATATGTACTTAATCAGAGGGCATAAATATAGAGGAACAGGAGAAGCATATTGAAAAGAGAGAGGGAGAGAGAGATGAAGGCATCAGAAACACCCTATGATAAGTAATCTTCAAGAAACTTTGCATGATATCAAACTTTGACTCATCCAGAACCTTAATTACTCTAGCACTGTAAAATTGGACCAACTTTCTAGTTGATAACGAAATTAAATTATTCAGCGTACCCTGCAAAGAATTCCGATGCTTTGTCAAAACCTTCCTTAAAACCCAAACCAACACCAAATGCCACCGCAGCGCAGACCTACAAGAAATCTTACACAATTGATGTAATTCTAATTCTATACAACTAGAGAAATTGTAAAAGAAAGCAGTAAAGACATAGTAGATGTGTGCCCACCCATAAGGCTACATTTCTAATGGAGGAATTGTAATCTTCATTCGCTAGAGATTCCTGAGAAGGAGATTTGTCAATATTGCCAATGTCATCCTTTGGTTGAGCATTAATCCTCTTTACCTCTGAAAATTCATACGATTTTCACTTACAATTCTTTTGAGAGAGAGAAATTATATATTATATATAATACACGGATCAGAAATGAATAGTTTAGCCTCCAACTTCAACATGGGAGTATAACTCCAACGAAGATGGATTTCTATACATAATTTGAAGTGAATAAGAGCATGCTTGATTCCCTGTTACCTTTTTGGTTTTAAAAGCTGTTTTCTAAAAGAATTCCAGACTACTCATGATAAATTCTTATTCAAAATCTATTAAGTTTTGAAAATCATTATGGAAACAAATGTTTTAAACACCAAAACACGGTGATGCCCCCTCATCTTCAAATACCTTTATGGGCAGTCTTATTTAGTAGCATTTCAAAAACTAAAACCAAATAGAAATCAAACACACCCTAAGCAAACAAAGCAAACAAATTTCCTTGTTCTGAATGCAGGGGTCATCACCTGAGGCATAATTGTCTTGCCCAATTCGTCTGGAGATTAAAAGGGGAACAGGGTGAGGAGGTCGATGATGGTACACTGCCACACACAAAGAAAACCCTTGAATGATATGAGTGATACGTTTGCGTTTGAGGTAAGAGAAAAGAGAGAGTAGCAGCAGACCTGAACAAAAGGAAGAGATGGGATGGTGAAGTGCATAAGCAGAGTGTGAAAGCCTGCGAATGTGATCCAACTTCAATGGAATTCGGACGCCGTTGTGAGCAACAGAGGCCAATCCCATAACTTTGGGGTTGGGTTTGGGACACTTCTTGATGGGTACAACACAAGTTGCCACACAACACAGCAATGAAACCAAAGTTAGAGAGAGAGAGAGAGAGAGAGAAGGAATATAGGAGGAATCTCTGATGTGGTGCTCTTCTCCCACAGCTGTGTTTCGACCAGAATTGTAAAAGGGATAAGCTGTTGTTTCTGCCTGGTTCGTGTAGTGTTTGTGTTTCGATCAGGTGTGGTCACCGCTTTGTTTTAACAGAGATCTACAAATATTATTATGTAATATTTTAAATAATTATTAAGACGGTTATCATTTATTTTAAGTAAATAGCTAATTACGGAAGAAAATAAAAATTTTAGCTTATTGTAAAACAAATAAAAACGCTTTTACATGTAAAAGAAAATGAAAAGTGTTTACTTTCCTAAAACGTGAAATTCATAATGATTTTATAAGAGTCAAATAGAATCGAAAAATGATTTTTAGATTAATTATTCTCAAAAATAAAAAATAAATATATGTTTATTTTCTTTTATAGTATAGCTTTTCTTGAGTTTTTATTAATTCGCTTTAGAGAAAAATAAAATAAAATTGTGTGTCAAAGACTTTTTTTCTTTATTTGTTCGGAATAGCGAGTCTTAGTCCTACGATTAGAAATTTAATATATTTGGATTTTGGAACTAAGTATAAGGTTTAGATAGGAAATAAAATTAATTTTCTTTTATTTTATTTCACCAAATTCATTATCTTATTATTCGACAAATAAAGTTTTAAACATGAGTAAAACTTACTTTACATAAAAATTGAGATACTAAAATCAGATTTAATTCTTAAATTAATAACTAAATATTGGTTAAAATATCACATACAAATAAATAAATAAATAATGTAAATTAATATAAATAACAATACATAAATGTAGATAAATTCAATAACATAAAATTAAATTTCATGAAGACGACTATGCCTATATGAAGATATAAATAAAATAATTATGAATTAATAAATATGGTCCATGCATAAGATTACTGCATGATTGGAGATAAACTAGATAACATAAACATAAATATATGAAAAAGACCGATGTGGAGATAAATTAAATTACATAAACATAAGTAAATAAAGAGGATTAGTGTAACTCAAAGATAAATTAAATGACATAAATATAAATAAACAATAATTATCAATGCATAACTAAAGATAAATTAAATTATATAAATATGAATAAATAAAGGGCGGTAGTGCATAACTAGAAATAAACTAAATGACATCAATATAAATAAGGCTTAATACCCTATTTTGTCCCTAGTTTCGTTCGAAAAAGTTAAATTAGTCCATCCTTTAAAAAATGCATCAATTACATCCTCACTTAATAAAACATTAATAAAATAAATAAAACATTAATAAAACACAAAAATTTATAATATTATCTAAAATTGAGAAATGATTGATAGATTAGACAATCTGGAAAGTATTCTCAAATTTGATATTGTATTTTGGGTTGACTAATCTAAAAACAACATGTGTATATTAGATTGAGTAGTCTAAAATAAATTCCAGGATCGGATACTTTAGATTAGTCAAGATTGAGCATTTCAAAGCAGTTTCTTCTTCACGCAGAACTAGGGGATTCTCTTCTTTTCTCCTAGGGTGTGTTCACTTTAAAGGATTGATTTGGACGAGAGTGAGTAGATGAATTTGAGAGGATTTTGAAAGTGACTTTATTGTTGTTTTTTGAAGGGGTTTGGAGGAAGTGAGAATGAATTTATAAGTAAAGTTTGTGAAAATTAATGTAGAATTTGACCAATGTGACAAATAAAAAAAATGTTTAATTAATAAAAATTGAAGATTACTAAAATATCATTAGTAGTAAAAGTAATATTAAATTGTAATTGTTAATATTATATATAATTGTAAAAATTATAATAATAAGAGAAAAAAATAAAATTAATTTTTAACATGAAAAAAAATTGTATCATTATTATTATTATTATATTATCATTATTATTAGGGTTAAATATGTTTTTCATCCCTTAAGTATCACTGATTTTTGGTTTTAGTCCCTACTCAAAACTTTGATGGCTTTTAGTCCTCATAGTATTGAAACATGTAATATTAATCCTTAAAAATGGACGGCGTCAACTTTTTATTGATCTGGCAAACGGCGAGACCACTTCTTCTTCTTAAGTATATGTCATGTTGCTTCTTCATCATCTCAGTTGGGGGCAAAGCTGGATTCTTCTTCTGGCTAGCAGGGTGCAACCTTGTAGGCCCCATTCCTCCTTCTCTAGGAAACTTGACGAAGCTCACAAACCTCGACTTGTCCATGAACGAACCTCGACATTACTTTGCTTGATGAGTCTTCGACATTGTCTGCGGAGTTTCTCATACTGCTTTCTGTGTATAAAGATATCGAATAAAATTAAAATGATGTTAACACCCCTCCCAAGAAGGAAAAAATCCAAACAATATACATTTTAAGTCTAACAGGACATGATGGATTGAGCACAAGCAATAAAATGAATCAAACATTTGGAGATAAAACTTGCATTCCCACCTATTTTGAGTTCTTATAACATCTCTTTCACCCTTGGTGCTGCCTAAGTCATACCTGCATGTTTAAAGTATAATTAGCAGTTGTATAAATTTTATCTGAATAAATTTCAAATATATACATGATGAAAAAGTATAATCAAGGAACTTATTTCCACCATCACAGAATTTACCATCTTTTGTAAACAAGGATTTGCATTGATGAGATGACAGAACGTGTTTTCTTCTCCTTTGTGACCATGGTGATTTAAGTCGGCCCCTAAAACACGGGGTAATTAATTACTACTTGCAAGTTATAGAATAAAGGATAAGTAGCCAATTAATCATGAAAGTAACGAAAGTTGCAGAAAAATGCACATACAATTGTATCCCAAAAAATAAAAAGCACAGAGAAACATTCTTCCACAAGTAAACAACATTAGCATAAAAGACAACTTCTACAAGTAGTTGTGTCGGTGCAGGGGAGCTTGCGAGATGAAGGCGCGACGGAGAGGCTTAGTCGATTTAGGGTTCGTCGCAACACTCGCGATTTGGGATTTCGCTTGGTCGTGGTTCTCGATTGGTCGGAGCGAACTCAGTGTTCCAGCACGATGCGATTTGGGATTGGGGTTGCTCGTGTTTTCTGGATTTGTCTGAGTTTCAGGTGATTCTGGGAATGCCATGGATGACTCGCTAGGAAGAAAAATGGGCTCTGTTGTTTGATTCTTTGCAGGTGAAGAATGGAGATGCTTGCTTGATCTGCGGTTGGGGCTGTTGCGCGATTGGGGTGATGGTGCACGAGAAGTGAAACCGTGATTGCTCTGCCGGAGAAGATGAATGAAGTTTAAGCACAAGCAACGTGGCAGAGAGTGAAGAGGCAAGCTGTCATAAGACGTGGCCTTGCCGTTTTCCAGATCAATAAAAAGTTGACGCCGTCCATTCTTAAGGACTAATATTACATGTTTCAATACTATGAGGACTAAAAGCCATCAAAGTTTTGAGTAGGGACTAAAACCAAAAATCACTAATACTTAAGGGACGAAAAACATATTTAACCCTTATTATTATTATTATTATTAGTAAGGGCTATTTTGTAATTTTGTTTTTCATCCCTCAAATCCTCTCATCTGAGGAGGGATTGCTTTTAATCTTCACCCCTCAAATTCTCACCCACAAATCAACACAATTCAAGTGAAGTGAACATAATGAATCTATCCTTTGCCTTCCTCTTCTTCACAAATAGTGCATTCTCCCAAAGTGAACACAACCCTAATTTCTTGTCCTTCATCAACCAATACAGACCCACATCTTCATCTTCATATATACACTGTTTCCATAACTATCTTTGTCTTCTCGAATTCAATTCTCCAACACCGCACTAATTCCTCACATAGTCATAACATTTACACAATTATGCAACAACATTCACTCAGGTAATTAGCCAAAACAGATGCATTGAAAAGAAGATCATGCATAGAGAAGAAGCCCTCGGCAGAAAATCGGTAACATGGAAGGTGCTTTGTGATTACTCATTTTCGGCATAAGTGGGTCCTTTGATGGTGTTTATGAGTGGTCGCATCAACGTATCCGAGTTGGTGGCGTGAATTGTCGGTTACTACAAATAGAAGGAGGAGCTCGCCAGTTGTTAGCACATTTGAATCAGGGGAGGCCTCTCATGTCTTTGATGAAGAAAATGAAGAGAAAGAGAACATATGTAGCTCATCGTCGCAACACCCAACTAAAGCCATCACTAACACTTCGTACTTGAAACTCACGGCTTCCTTCGTCGCCACCACGTATCCTAGGCCATTTCCAACCCCACACAAAAGTTGAGAATAACAACATAAGTTCAAAAACAATTTCAACTGGTTTTTCTCAAGATGTTTATTTGAATAAAAAACTAAAATAGAACTTAGGGAAGATAAACTTTAATCAAAACAATTATATCTAATCAGAAAGACATTCTAAACATATAAGACTTTACATCTTCAATCTTCATCTTGAATAAGGTTGTATTCTTAAAACTTCATCAATTAAAACAACACAAATATGGAAAAGATGTTGTGTGTGAATTAAGTAATTTAGATGCATTAGTAGACATTATAGTTAAGCTTTTATTATCTAACTCAATTAACTACACTACTACATCAATATTAAAAATTGTATCACAATTATCATCTCCTTTTAGAACATTAGATAATATAAACTCAACCATCTCAATATATGCCTTGCACAAAGAGGAATCAAATTATGAATCACAAGGTGAGTATTAATGTAATTAATAAGATCAAATAAATATAAATCTTTTAGAAACTAAAGAAAATTATTGTCTACTAAATTTTCAGATTCTTCTTCTTCTTCTCCTTTTCTTTTTTGTCCTATTCTATCAATACAAGTTCTTTAACTCCTTCACGCCAAAAGAGATTATACTTACACTCCTTGGAAAAAGATCAACATCTTGTACAAGTTCATGCATAACTAATTGACTAACTTGATTTCCTATTATTATAAGTCTAGCCTCTATACTATGTTGAAATTTCATTTCACTTACTATCACTTTCCTAACAAACTACTACAAAGATGGTTGTTAAAAATAACGAGTAACATCTATGCTAGCCTTCATACAATGCCTTAATTAACCTATTTACCTCACAAGCTCTTCTAAAGATGTTTTTTCAAAACTAGGAGTAATACTTATCTTATGTTGT